CTCAGGTGAGCAACAAGAACCTGCTCTGGCCAGGCCACAAGCCTCAGCCCTGCAGCACACCAAATAACCCACATGAAGTCGAGGCATTCAGGTATGGAAAAGGCATTCTAAAGGCAGTGAAGCTGCAAACAATCACAGACAGCTACCTTTTATAAGCAGAAGTGTTTGCTCTGGATTGCATTTCTGGCTCTTCTCTGCCTCTAGGGATACAAGCGAACATAGAATCACAGAATGCTTAAGGTTGGAAGGACCTCTAGAGATCATCTAGTCCAACCCCCCTGCACACGCAGGGTCACCTAGAGCACGTGGCACAGGACTGCGTCCAAGCGGGTTTGGAAGATCTGCAGAGAAGGAGACTCCACAACCTCTCTGGGCAGCCTGTTCCAGTGCTCTGTCACCCTCACAGGAAAGTTCTTCCTCACATGGGAACTGCCTGTGTTTTAATTTGTACCCATTACCCCTTGTCCTGTCACTGGCTACCGCCGAGAAGAGTTTGGCCCCATCCTGCCTACATTGGCCCCCCAGGTACTTGTACATGTTGATCAGATCCCCTCTCAGTCCTCTCTTCTCCAGACTAAACAGGCCCAGCTCGCTTAGTCTTTCCTCATACAATAGATGCTCCAGTCCCTTAATCATCTTCAAGGCAGGCACTTTAGCAGACTGCACTTCTGAAAACACACAGCACATCTGCACCCTGCAGCCCGGTCCCACAGTGGATGGCCTAAGTGGTAAATCCTGCAAGGCCTGGACTGCTCTCGAGGCTGAGATCCTGCAGGGCAGAGCCCATATGGGAAATTTTGCTAGCCGAATGGGAGTCCTGGAAATTATAGCAGCAATTCCAGAGCCCAGCGGGGCATAAGCAGGGATTCTGGACTTTGGATTCACACACCTGCTGGTACTGGATTCTTTAGTGGCTTTAAACCAAATTTCCCAGAGAATTAGAGATCAATCCATTAGGAAGATAATGAAAAAAAATCAGCCAACCCTAACTGTATTTGGAAGTATTAAAATACCTCACAAACTTATTTGATATTAATAAGGCCTTCTAACAGTTTCCCTTGTTGTACAACAGCACAATGCTATAAAAAAAAAGAAACCTTGAGCACCCACGATTTTCCTGTCCTTTCACATGTCAGCACTTTCTCAGCACTCACAGGCTCATGTGGACTGAAACTCCCTCTTAAAACTGCTAAGAGACCACCTGCCCTAAGCACGGGGAATGCTGCAAAGACAAGGTTTCAAGAGTAGCTACAGGGGATGTCCTATCCCTCCGTACAGCAACTTACCACAGTTCTTGAGGGAGAGCAGAGGGTGATCCGTGGGCAGAGGCTCTGGAGTCGTGACATCCAGGCCAGCAGCTGCAATCTGGCCATTCACCAATGCATCGTACAGGTCCTCCTGGTTTACCACAGCCCCCCTGGGGAAAACAGAGCAGAGAGATGCTCACAGCACTCCCATCCTACGGACACGCTCCCATGAGCATAGCAGCCAGGCAGAGGGATGGACGCAGGGCACAAGCACGGCCAGCTCTTCTTGCTGTGCACAACACCATCACGTTCTGCCATGCTGGTTCCCCGGGAGCAGGCAGCTTGTTGGCTGCCTGAGCAGAATTCAGATCCCGTCAGGATGCATCTGAACCTTAGACATGCGCAAGCCCTAGTGGTTTGTCTGTTGGGGAGCGCTGAATAAAGGAGGCATCTTTACCTGAGGGACAAGGAGCCAGCTTTCAAGGTTGTGATAAACCCCCATACAAGCCCAGCCTACCCAGGCGCAGGTGAATTTCTCTCAGCTGCCTGCTGACAGTTCACCACTCAAGGGTGAGAAGAGCAATGCACCATAATGACATGAAAAGCCACCGAGCATGGACGGTGCAGATAACCCAGGCAGGTAACTGAACAGCCACCCATCCTGCCATCCCACTGGGGCCAGACACACGGCCCTGGGAAAGACAGCGAGCACGTAGCCCTCTGAACAGCTCCGTGTGCTTTTGGCTGGCACAAGAGACGTGGAGATGCACCGAGTAGGCCACGAGCTGTCCTTGTGGCTGCAGCGGTGCCCATTC